GCATCACATTTCTTGACCTCAAACTATATTAAAGGTGACAGTAATTTAAATAGTGTGATATTGAATGAGAAAACAAGTGGAATGGAATAGAATCAATAGTCCCAAAATTACCCTACACATATATCAACGGTTACTCTACAATAAAGGAGTCTGACCATACAGTGGAGAAAGGAAAATATTTTCAACAAATGGTATTGGGAAAATTGGACAGACAATGCAAAAAAATGAAACTGGACCACTCTGTAAGTCCACACACACACACACACACACACACACACACACAAATTCAAGGTGTGTTAAAGACTTGGACACAAGACCTAATACCATAATATACAGAACAAATCAAATGATACATTCCATGATATTAGCCTTAGAGATGTCTTTTGGGAGTCAATCCCAATGGCAAAGGAAATGGAAGCAGACAAAACAAATGTAACTACATCAAGTGAAAAACTTCTGCACAGCAGGAGAAAATATCAGCAGAACAAAAAGACATGTTACTGAGTGGAAGAAGATATTTGCACATAGTACATGCAATATGAGGTTAATATCCACAGTTTATAAAGAACTCATACAGATCAACAACAAAAAACTAGACAACTCAATAAAAAATGGGCAGATCTGAGTAGAAACATCTCCAAAGAAGCTATACAGATGACCAATGTAAACACAAAAAAAAGATGATCTTCACTTATTAGGGAAATGAGAATCAAAGCTACAAGTATTACCTCATACCTGGTAGAATGGATTACCTAAAAAAGGCAGTAATAATAAGTGTTGGTGAGGATATGGAGAAAGAAGGAGTCCATGTACACTGTTGGTGGGAATGTAAATTGAACCACCATTTTGGAAAAACAGTATGGAACTTCCTCAAAAAACTGAAAATAAAACTACCATATGATCTAGCAATACCCACTTCTGGATATATATATATCTGAATAAATATCTATGAAATCATGGCATAAGTTTGAGGGACTAGGACTTTGGTGGTGGGTGAATGAAGCCTGTGAACATGTCAGATTGTGAAGTTGTCCCCACCCAAAATACATAGACTTCTAAACAAATAGTTAATTAATGACTTTAAATTTAAAAAGAATAGAAAGTCATAATTCAAAGAACTTTATGCACCCCTATATTCATTGTAGCACTGTGTTTCACTGTGTTTATTGCGGCACTATTCACAGTAGTCCAGATATAAAAACAACTAAATGTCAGTTGATACATCTATTGTGTAAAGAAGATGTGTCTAAAAACAACTAAATGTCAATTGATACATCTATTGTGTAAAGAAGATGTGTCGATAGTACAATATATAAATACAATGGAATACTATACAGCCATAAAAAGATGAAATTTTGTGATCTGCAGAAAAATGGAAGGAACTTGAGGAAATTATGTTAAGTGAAATGAGTCAGAAGGAAAAACACAAATATAGGATGATTTTGCCTACATAAAGACTATAAGTAAACAAAGTAGATGAACTAATAAGACAAAATAAAAATAAATTAGTAGACTTTTACAAGAGAACTGAGGTTACCAGAGAAGAAGGTGAGAGGTGGAATAAAGCTGGGGGTGTTCTAATGGACACTTTTTTTTTTTAGTATTTAATAAAAATTTAAAAATTACTTGAGAATTCCAAAAATTCTATGAAACCAATTGTAATGGCACTTTTCTCAAAAATATTCAGTGGCTCTATATTTTAGAAATGATAAGTTCCTGCAAGGGTGTGTATGTATGTGTGTGTGTGTCCAGGCTTTCCACCAAGAGAGTTCAATCTACTTGCTTTAACTTGTTTCCCACCATATTACAAACTACTCTGCCCAAATATTCCTCAGCTCTAGCTCACCTGCATCTGCCTTTTCTCATGCTCTGACCATACTGTTGTATTCTTTCTCCATTTATAACCTTGTTTAATTTTTGCTTGTACCTCCTATTGGGAGAAGTAATGGGTAGAACTGAGTCTGTCATCTGAAGAGGTGTTAATTCCCTATAGGAATTTGAAGAAGTGAGGCACCAGATTTGTGCTCTTGAGCTTTCTCGCCTGAGGCCAGTTCAGGGCTCTTTAGCTATCATGGGAAAATACTAGAACATGTTTGTGAAGTGATTCCAAATTCTCCAGGGATGGATGCTCCAGGGCATATAATTCATGTGATTCGATGTTGTATGATACTCTAGAATCATTGCATTTAATTTTAGCTGTATTTATGAGAAGGTGGCTTTTGGTTAGAGGTGAAACTGATAAAGTCGTGTGACATTTAAGAGACAGTTGATAGGTAAGAAAGTGCAGTTTCTGTTGTGTGACCATTTGTGGGATCTTATTTACAGTTCTCCTCATTCATGGTTGGAGTTGCTGTTGCGGTGATGTCTGAGTGCTTAGGAATCATCAGACAAAGCTGAAACTCTTGAATTGGTAGGTTATTTAGTTTTGATGTTAGTGAATTTTTCACTGTAATTTTCAAAACAAGTTTGGGCAATTATGAGAGTTAGAAACACTTTGTATGCAGTAATCATAAAATCTTAGAAGTTTGCACCTGGAAGGGAAGTTGGGAAGTAAGTCTCATGCCTTACTTTTTTTTTTTTTTTAAATCTTAAATTTTATTTTTATATTCCCCCATACAATTGCAAACGCCCCATTCTGACCCCAATCCTTCCCCTCCCGCCCCCCACCCCCCAAAAAGTGTCTCTGGTTCATAGTTTTTTGTTGATTTTGATTTTCACTTTCTTATATTCATTTTCCTGGTCCCTTATTTAAGTTTTCTAGATTCCTGCTATGAGTGAGACCATCCGGTATTTTTCTTTTTCTTTTTGGCTTATTTCGCTGAGCATGATCCCTTCCAGCGCCATCCATGTTGCTGCAAATTGCATGTGTTTATCTTTTTTGAATGCTGAGTAATATTCCATGGTATATATGTACCATATCTTCTTGATCCAGACATCTACTTTTGGGCATTTGGGTTGTTTCCAAAGCTTAGCTATTGTAAACAGTTCATGCCTTACTTTTAAAATTAGAAAGAAAATACTAATAAAGGGAGTGACTGCCTAATTGTTTCATGTCAAGTGAGTCAAGACTGCATCAGGGGCTTCTAAGTGGTAAAAAAATTGTTTGCATTGCTATTTAGTTACTCTCGGTACAAGAATGCTTTTTTCCATAACATGCTTTTAATCAGTTCTTTAAAGATTTCCCATTGTGTTTATTATATGAAACATGCAATATTCTACTTTTGAAACCAATCCACTTTAAAACTTTTGTAATTGAATATATGTTGTTCAAAATTTTCCCTTTAGAAGTGAGTTTAAATATTTGATCCGGTAGTCTGTTGCTATTAATTTAGGGGATTTTTGATAACCAAAATACAATTATTATGGTCAAACGTAGACATTGATTTTAATAAATGGTTTCGGTCAAATATAGAAATGTGACGATTTACCTTCTACTGTCTGCTACTGTTCTACTGACTACACTTTGCAGATAGCAAGTGTTCCTTTTCCCGACTCAATTCACACACTGAGGTTTCACTGGTTTTCAAAACATCCCACAAAGACCAGAGGGCCTCATTTAGTGCTAAGTTGTCCCTAGTACCTTTGATGTGAGCAGGTCAGCCTTCCTCCTGTCTTCCTGTTGTTGTCTGGGACCTTTTACCCATGACTTTGTACCTCTAGTTTTTTGCCAACTCTCCCTACTCAGAAATAATTTTTCCTTCCTTAAAACTGTCATTTGTTATTTATTGCCCTTGCTTCCCAACAGTGTTGGTTTTCCTTTTTATTTAGAAAAGTTTTATTTCTTAAAGGTAGAGTCTACATTTTCCTAATTGTTTTCATTTACTTAAGAAACATTGGTCGAACATTTGCTGTGGGCCTGAGACTATTTATTGCAGGCCTTGTAAATGTAAGAAGGAAACATGGGACATTTTGTTATCCTGGACTTTATGTTTAATGAAGAAGTTAGTTAGGTATGGAAATTTAATTTCAGTTGGAGATAATGGAAAAATAAAATGAAGCAAGGTATTAAGAGTGAGATCCTCTTCCTTTTGTAGATAGCATGTAACTGCTGAGTTTTGGGGTCAATGTATGACTGATCTTGCAGAGACCAAAATATGGTAGGTGCTACAGCAAGTGTTTGTTGGATAATTGATGATTAAATAAACAACTTGATGAGAAATTTAATGATGGGAAAGAGAAAATGAGAGAGGGGAAGAACTTCTAAAATACAGGTTTATAATGACTTTCTTATTTTCATCATCCTATCAGAAAGATTGCCAAGAGAATTGGCCCCTAGAACTTCCCATCCATAATCTCAATAGATTAGGCCAAGTAGAGTTTGGGCAATAATCAATAAGTCTAAAGTCAACTCACATTATTTACAGATCACTTAAGATAGGAACATCTAAAATACAAACCCTTCTGTTTGTTTCATCTGAGCTCTATATTACTTAACCTGGTTACATACAGTTATTTTGAACTAGTGAATACTCATAATAGACATATATCATCTTTGTTGCACTTTTAATTATTAGATTTTGATCAATTTTTTGTGGGTGACTTATTCGATTTGTCACTTTTTGACATTTTATTTTTTGTGCTCCTAGGTTTGATATTATAAAACTGGGGAAATAGATGAAAATAGAGGAATAGAAAATAGATGCCTTTAACAAATACGTGTATAGCTCCTAAGCGATAAAATTTTTCTATTTCTTTACAGCTATGTTAATTCTCAAACGACATGGTGTATCAGTTGCAATAGAATTTTGACATAATTTTGTACTTTTCATATAAGATTTCCAAGCCAGAATTCTTCACTTCTCATTTTTTATATGAAAGATTAATCAAGAAATTGGCCATTTTCCAAATTTTCCAAGTAAATTTCTATGGGGATGGGCTTTTCTCTCACACTTCTGCCAAGACATTCTGGGGTGAATACTGAGGCTTTCTCTGAGTTATTGGATTGTGACTTCACATTTTTGTTACTATGTTCATAAAAACTACACATACTCAAAGCTGAAATGAAAAGGCAGAATCAGAGCTCTGTGGTTGAATTCATCCTCTTGGGCTTTTCTAACTATCCTGAACTTCAAGGGCAGATCTTCGGGGTTTTCTTGGTGATTTACCTGGTCACTCTGATGGGAAATGCCATCATTATAATTGTCATCTCTCTGGAAAAGAGTCTCCATGTCCCCTTGTACCTATTTCTCTTGAACTTATCTGTGTTAGAAGTGGGTTTCAGTGCAAGCACAGTACCTGAGATGCTGGTGGTCCTCTCCAGGGAAAGAACTACAATTACTTTTGCAGGCTGCTTTGCCCAGATGTATTTCCTTCTTCTTTTTGGTGGGACTGAATGTTTTCTCCTGGGGGCAATGGCTTATGACAGATATGCTGCCATCTGCCATCCTCTGAGCTACCCAGTGATTATGAACAAAAGTGTTTTCACAAAATTAGTAACATTCTCATGGGTTTCCTGGATCATGTTGGATACCGTGCACACCTCATGGGTTTTCAGTTTTCCCTTTTGTGGCCCCAATGAAATTAATCATCTCTTCTGTGAGACTCCCCCAGTGCTGGAGCTTGCATGTGCAGACACTTTCATTTTTGAAATCTATGCGTTCACTGGCACCGTTTTGGTTGTTATGGTTCCTTTTCTATTGATACTCTTGTCTTATACTCGAATTCTCTTCGCCATCCTGAAGATGCCATCTAACACTGGGAGGCAGAAGGCCTTTTCCACCTGTGCCTCCCATCTGACTTCTGTTACCCTTTTCTATGGCACGGCCATTATGACTTATTCACAGCCCAAGTCTGACTACTCCCCAGACACCAAGAAACTGATGTCATTGGCTTACACACTTCTTACTCCTCTGCTGAATCCGCTTATCTACAGCTTGCGTAACAGTGAGATGAAACGAGCTTTCATGAAATTGTGGCGAAGAAAATTTAATTTACAAACATTCTGACTATTCTAATAAGCCATGTGTTTGTTCACTATCTGACTGAAGGCTAATTTATTAAATGGCCTAATATTTTGCATTTCTTAATTTGTTTAGTTTTCCAAGTTTAATAATATCCCAGGGATCTTTTATTTTGCAGTGTTGTCTTCTTTTTTATTGACAAATGCTTTCATGATATACATTACAACAATTTATTCATTCCTTCCTATGTTCATTCATGTTATTGATTAACTATTGTTATTTTAACATATGAAGCTTTAATAAATACCTATGTTTAAGTGTACTGATGTTTCATTTTTTTTAAGAAGTATGTTATTTTGTTTTTTATTTTATTTTATTTTTTTTAAGATTTATTTATTTATTTATACAAGCACTGGGTACAGTCAGAAGCACGGGAGGGTGAGAGAATTCACCAGAGCCAGAGCGGGGAGCAGAGCAGGCAGAAGGACCGAAGTACACTGCTGAGGGGAGCAGCGGGCCTGGCAGGAGAGGTCTGCACGCCATATGGGACCCTCGCCAGGCCGCTGGGGATGGAACCGGCGCTTCGCAGCCCAGCGCTCAACCGCTGCGCTACCGGGGAGGCCCTGATGTTTCATTTTTATTATTGCTCAAGGCAAGGACGGGGCCAAAAATATTTGTTCTTATCAATTTTACTAGCTTCTGCAGCATTACATTTCAGAATCATTGGAATAATAACGGGATAAGTAGGGACCTTCAAGAGACCAGAGAGGATTTTAATAGGGGAAGTGAAAATCTGTGCCATGAATGGTGAAACAAAGTGCAATTATTTTGTGACAACCAACTAACTGGTGCAACTTCCTAGACTCCACAAACTATTTTTCTAACAGGATTTCTGCTGGTATTTCCCTAAGTTATTCACACAGTGCTGAGAATGGAGAGCTCCATGGGATCTTTGCTGACCTTGCTTGTAGTTTAGTATCTATTCCATTATTTTTATAGACCAATATTTTTATAGACTTTTGTTAAATTTCCCTCTGTTGGCGTAAAATGACCTAAGACATGTTCTTTATAAACATAAGATGATTAAACATAAAGGAGTTATTGGGAGCTAGCGGAGCAACATGGTGGCAAGGAGACGCTGCGAGTAAGATCTCCCATTAAAAAAAGTTAATAGGAGGAAAAGCGGCAGGTCCCAGTGAGAACCGGGACACGGAAGATAAACGGGTGACGCCAGCAAACTGCCCGAAGAAGAAAGTGGCCATAAAAGAGGACCAGAAGGGAGGGAAGCGCAGAACCCTGCTCCCCTCCCCCGCCCACAGAGGCGGCACTCTCCGACCGGCAGAGAGGAGGAAAACAACAAACTAAAACGACCAACAAGAACAAAGGACGCAGCAAGCGGGACTGTGAGTGGAAAGGAACTATTGCAGCCACCACACCCCGTGAACGGGAGCTGTAGAGAACCCTGCAGGATCCGCCGCAGAGGTGAGCTCCGGGCGCCATTGAAGAGAGACCCCGCCCAGGAGGAGACCAGCACCAGCACACAGCCCCGGCCGCCCGGTAAGCCTGCGCGGAAAGCGGCGCGCTGGAAAAACAGACGGATCGGGATTGCGCGGGAAAGCGGCGCGGATCGCGCTGAAAAGCAGTGCGGTTGAAAAGCAAACGCGGGTCTGGATCGGATCGCAGCTGCCCAGGTCCCTGCGCCTGCGACCTAGGCTTGCGGGGAGACGCGCGGAGGCCCTCCCGGAGTGAGCAGGAACCAGGCGCCCAGGCAGGGGAGCGGGATTCAAAAGGTGCCATTCCCGCGCCACTGATCTGGGCTACAGCCCGCGTCCTGGAACTGAGGGCTTTGGAACTGAGACCCGGGGCAAGAAATTAGGGGCGTGGGTTCCCCACGACGGTGGGGCACAAGGCAGACACAGCACCCCAAAGCCGTTGAGGTGTACCCTACCATCCCTGCTCTGCTCCCTGTCCCACGGGGTGGAAAATCAGCTCCCCAAGGGCTCTAGGAGAGATCTCTGGCGCCACCTAGCGACTTGAAGCCAGCACAGGCTCCTGAAGGAGCTAGTGGCCAGCTGGGGAGTTAGCCCACCCCACGCCGGGCCCCTTCCGAACAAGTAGTCTGAGCCCACAGGGAGAGCGAGCACCCACAGCTGGGGCAGACCAAGCGCGCAGAAGAGTGTGCCTGAGACCGGACGCGCAGGGAGTGTGTCCCACATCACCATTATAGAATAGGGACATTTCTTCAGTAAAGACTACCTGCAGAAGGCTTCCTCAGGAGCCAGAGGTGAGCGGGGGAAGTTCGCCCACGCCAGACCCCCTCTGGCCTGCAGTCCAAGCCCAGAGGGGGAGCAGGAACCCACCGCCGGGGCAGACCAGGCGCACAGGGGAGTGTGTCCCACATCGGCATTTTAGAACAGGGACCTTTCTCCAGTAAAGACTGCTTGAAACTGACAGATGACTCCTGGAGGAACCAGAGGAGAGCAGAGAAGCCCACCCAAGATGCCGGCCAGTCCCAACTACACAGTGTCCCAACGCATACGGCAAATTAGAAAACAGACAGTAGGGAGGAGAAGAACCACACGCAACCTAGCAACTCTCCAGAGAAAAAGCACACCACAAAAAGAAAACCAGCCCCCAGATGGCAACGACAGTAACTTGGAAGAACTTCTGAGCCTTCCAGAAAGAGAATTTAAAATTGCCGTGATTAAAAAACTGACAGAAGTCATAAAGGAAAACAATGATAAGGGAAAAATAATCAACGATCAGAAGAATGAAATTGAGTCCCTAAAGAGGGAAGTAAAACAAATGCAGGAGATCAAAGAATTAATGGAAGAACTAAAGAATTCTGGGAAAAGCAATGAAAGCAGAATTGATGAAATGGAAGAACGAATAAGTAATCTTGAAGACACAGAAATAAAAAGAACCAAAACAGAAAAGGAAAGAGAAGTACGAAGGAAAAAGAATGAAGAAAGACTTCGGGAACTATCTGACTCCATGAGGAAAGGAATATAAGAGTTATAGGAATACCAGAAGGAGAGGAGAGAGAAGTAGGAACAGAGAAAATATTCAAAGAGATAATTGAAGAGAACTTCCCAAATGTGAAGGAGGAGCTGAAAATTGATATACAAGAAGCAAGAAGAACACCAAACTTCCACGACGAAAGGAAAAATACAGCAAGACACATAATAGTAAAGCTCCCAAGAATCCAGGACAAGGAAAAATAATGAAGCTGGCAAGAGGGAAGAAACAGATAACATTCAAAGGAAAGCCAATCAGGCTGACATCAGACTTCTCCGAAGAAACACTACGGGCAAGGAGAGAGTGGAGGGACATAGTCAACAGACTCCAAGAAAACAGATGCCAACCAAGAATACTCTATCCCGCAAAGCTCTCCTTCCTCTTTGAAGAAAGAATATGGACTTTCCCAGACAAACAGAAACTCCGGAATTTCATTGCAACTAAACCCCCACTCCAAAAAATACTACAAGGAGTCCTAAAGCCAGAACCTCAGAGGGACGAATAACAATGAAAGAAGGCCAAAAAAAAAAAGTTATTAAAGAATAAATAAATAAAATCCAAGGAAAGACAAACACAATGGCAAATACAGATGTTAACATATCAATATTAACTCTAAATGTAAATGGACTAAACTCTTCAATAAAAAGACACAGAGTTGCAGCCTGGATTAAGAAACAAAACCCAACCTTTTGCTGTCTCCAGGAAACACATTTAGCTACAAAAGATAAAAATAGGCTCAAAGTTAAAGGATGGAAAACAATCCTACAAGCAAATGGACCAAAAAAGAAAGCAGGAACAGCTATACTTATATCAGATAAAACAGATTTCAAACTCAAAAAGATAAAAAGAGACCCCAATGGTCACTACATTATGATCAAGGGGACAATACTTCAAGAAGAAATAACACTCATTAACATATACTCACCAAACGAAGGAGCACCAAAATATATCAGACAACTGTTGTCCTCTCTGAAAACAGACATCAGAGAAAACACATACGTAGTGGGAGACTTCAACACACCACTATCAACAATGGATAGATCAACAAGACAAAAAATAAGTAAAGAAACCAAAGCTCTAAATAAGGACCTAGAGCAATTGGGCTTAACAGATATCTATAGAACACTAAACCCCAAAAAAACGGAGTACACTTTTTTCTCAAGCGCACACGGATCATTCTCCAGGATCGATCCCATACTGGGGCACAAGACACACATCAACAGATACACCAAGATTGAAATCATATCAACCATCTTTTCTGACCATGAAGGCATCAAACTAGAAATAAACCATAAAAAGAAGGCAAGGAACTTTCCTACCTCATGGAGATTAAAAACCACACTACTGGAAGACCACTGGACTAATGAGGAGATCAAAGAAGAAATTAAAACATTCTTTGAATTGAATGACAAGGAGGACACCAATATCCTAAATGTATGGGATGCAGCAAAAGCAGTAATTAGAGGAAAATATATAGCAATAGAAGCTCACATCAAGAAACAAGAAAGAACTCAAAGAAACAACCAAATCTCGAAGCTCAAAGATCTAGAAAAAGAACAACAAAAAAACCCCAAAACCAGTAGAAGAAAAGAAATAATAAAAACCAAAGCAGAAATAAATGAAATTGAAACTAAAAAAACAATCCAAAAGATCAATGAAACCAAGAGCTGGTTCTTTGAAAAAATCAATAAAATAGACAAACCCCTAGCCAGGCTCACAAAGGAAAAAAGGGAGAAAGCACAAATAAACAGGATCATCAATGAAAGAGGAGAAATCACAACGGACACAGCAGAAATCAAAAGAATAATCAGTAACTACTATGAACAGTTATATGGAAACAAGTTTAACAATCTAGAGGAGATTGTAGGACAAATTCCTACAACTCTGCAATCACCCAAAGCTAGATAAAGAAGAAATAGAACACCTAAACAGACCAATTACAATTAGCGAAATTGAAATGGTAATCAAAAACCTCCCCAAAAACAAAAGCCCAGGACCTGATGGATTTACAAATGAATTCTACCAAA